GCCTCGGCACCTACGAGCACTCGTTAGTGTACAAAAGGTTTATGTGGCGTAGACTTGTAGTTCGCTTCCAATAGACCTTCAATAATAGAACTCGATTTCAATCGATTCCCCATTTAACTAATGAGCTAGGTAACTTTTGCACACCGTCTTCTTTAGATGTGTCGTTTTCCGGCTCCACTGCAGCAGCTGAAAAATTAAACACACATTGGCGTGGGCTGTGACTGCAGTCAATCTTTACTGTCCGAAACATAATAAAGGAGGGTTAGCGAAAAATACGCGGAAGTTCTCTGTGGGGAAAGAACTCGCAGTAGCTTGTTTGATATCATTTAACACGTCTCCTTAAAAATGGGCATTTCTTTTCTGCCGTTGCGACGGCAGGCTTTGGACCACACCTGGTAATCAGAAGGACGAGTCTCTCCGTATAACTGTTTTCGAGGTGTATGTTCAGCAACTGCTGAAACTCTGCACCGCCAGTTTTAAGCGAATAAATTTAGATTTAGATCAAGGGAAACAAAACTTCAAAAATTAATGTATTGTGCTTTCTCGGTCTCCTTCCAAAATGCCTTGTGCTGGATAAATGCATCATATTGTTTATGTAGAAGGGCATAAGGGAAAGCCATTTCGATGTAGCAAACGTTAGTGAAATACGCGTACTGTTAAACTTCTTAACTAAGCCGAGGCTGTCAGTTTAATGACTTGGCAGGCAGAAGATTTACTCTTCATAACATCTTATTTCCCCCGAAATAAAATGAGCTGAACTGCATAAATTAAGCTTCCGATACCCTTGCCGTCCTCGGTTAAAGAAACGCCACCCGAATCGGGTCTTAGATTTCTGCGATACTCAGCTTATTTATTCTAGTGGGAAATTATTCAGATAAATTTTTGGTGGAATCCCGAACAGTTAAATTTCGTATACGCAAATGTGAATTGGAGAAAGTTCACATGTTTGCATGAACCGATCATTGAGGCTGAAGGTCGTTGCTACATTATCACCGCATCAATGCATTATCGCAGTTTCCCCTTAATTGAAAAAGATGGATGATGACGGTAAGCATAAACGATATATTATTTTGTGTAAGTCGATATCGTTAAACAATTGGAAAGTAAAATAACGGAGGCATTTGACCTGTTTGATCACGAAAGAAACAAAACAATTGATGTCCGTGAAGTCGGGACGGTGATAAGACACTTAGGCTGCTGTCCATCAGAAAAAGAACTCCAGGAAATTATCCCACAGGTACCATATATTAAAACATAACATTTAGCTTGAAAACGTTCCCCCTAATGGTTATATAAACTTTGAAACCTTTATGCCCGCTATGACCCAAATATTGCTGGAAAATAGGTAGGACTGAAAATATTACCAATTTTGCAAAAGTTTTGCGCCAGCAACAGAAGAAGAGATTGTGAACGCATTCAAAGCATTAGATACTGAAAAGACTGGCTTTATTCCAGTCGACGTATTGGAACAACACATGACAAAAGAAGGTGAACCGTTTACAAAAGAGGAAATGGAAGAGATGCTTGCGGCTGCTGTAGATGCCCAAAAGAGAGCAGTAAATTATCGGGAATATGCAATACTTTTGGCGAATACAAAACTATGCGAATAACAGTTCCTTATATCGGCGTTTATTTGTCGAAATATATCTTATATCATTTAGTCTGTGTGATTTGTTGTTTATATTAAT